TGATGGGGCATCTTCTGGGTGCTCACCTGCTGCTGGCGCGCTCCCACCCCCTCCGGGTACAAGTGCCAGTGGGAGTGCAGGTATCCGGTGGCGGTGCGCATGTTCTTCAGTGTAATAACCGAACCGTACGCCAAATCTGCGGGGAGAGAGGACAGCAACGTGTCATCACATAACAATGGTTCAATACCAATGATGTCATCAGAGAGCAGTGATGTCATCAGAGAGCAGTGACGAGATAAGACATATAATATGGGGGGGGAGGGGGGAGAACGGCAGGAGACATCTCTCTGTGTGGCCCCACAGTCAGTATAGGGCCCCTTCTGTACTACATGCCCCCCCGGGGTACTTACGCTCGGGCATAGAGGCGTTGTGCAGATTGTTCCCAATCAGACGGGACTGGAAGGCGGAGCTGAAGAAACCGTCGCCGGGGCCGCTGCAGAGCAGGAAGAGGAAGTGTTGAGCTGCGGGGACACCGTGGATGGGGGCGGGGCGCGGGTCACATGACTCACCTTTTATTGAGGACGGTGAAATGTACGGCGAAGACGAGCGCGTAGAGGGCGAGCGGCACGACAATCAGGCAGAGGACGCGAGCCGCCAGGTGACGCAGGAAAACATCCTACAAAATGGAGGACATGAGACGCAGCGTCCAATGATACAGACGCACCGCCGGGGCCACAACTCACCAGCGTCAGGCCGAGATCTCCCAGAATCCTCCACAGGTCCCTCACCGTATTCACACCGACCAAGATCACCGCAAACAGGCCGACGAACTTCACAGCCATGGCGCCGGACAGGCTGACACCGCTCAGGACCAACCACAGCCACCAGGGGGCGCTGAACGGCCTGCGGGGACACATTACACCCCACCAGGAGAGGAAACATCCAATCAGAACACAGCAATGTCCGGGGCCCGCCCTACACATCACCGAATGCCTGCACTTTACCATAAACACCGGCAATGCTGGACAGAGCCCGTCCCCAGCCTCTCCTCGTTGTCTGACAGGGAGTACAATAGGTGTGCCGGGGCTACATTCACCTCCGGGGGATGGGCAGGGTAAGTGGTGGGGGAGGGGCAGGGTAAGTGGTAGGGGGAGGGGCATTGAGGTGCATGTAGGCGTGTCTCTTACCTGCAGTGACAGGCATTGAACTTGACCATACTGAGCACGGCGGCCATGATGAAGAAGAGGAGCGCCGGGTCCAGCAGGATGTACTGGGTCAGGGTGATGCAGCCGGTGTCTGCAGGAAATCATCATTATTAGAATTCATCTCGGTCAGAACCTCCCCCTCCCCCCACTGCTGGTCCATACACAGGGAGGAGGGGCCACTAGTGTTCTGATCGGATGGTTGTCATGGCACCCAGGGCGGGTCACCGGGATCTCCTTACCCAGCAGAATGAGGACGGCGGCCAGCAGGGCGGCAGATAGTGATCCCGAGAGCTGCAGGACGATGAGGAAGGTGAGCGGCGGGAGCCCGGAGCCCAGGAAGGCGCAGAACTGCCAGGAAGACACAACATGCCCATCAATCCACCGCCACAGAGCCCCGCCTCCAATCACCGGGGAACCACCCACCATCTCCACCACCAATCACCGGGGGGAACCACCCACCATCTCCACCCCTGTACAGTCATGGAAGGTGGCTCAGACTACAGACATGTGCCCCCCGTGATGCCGCCTCACCCCTCTCATGCCCAGGTAGTTGTGGTCTTCATAGCTCTGCCCAGGCTTCAGGAAGGAGAAGGAACCATTGTAACCAGTCACATGTCCGGCCAATCCAATCAGCATCTGAGGAGGAAGAGACGAATATTCAGTGACAACATGAGAAAAGTCATGTGACCCCAACACGTGATAAGCAGATAGTGACTTCAACACACGCCAAGATCCAGACGTGACCTGCTCCGTGTTCAGACCTAGACACGCCACGATCCAGACATGACCTGCTCCGTGTTCAGACCTAGACACGCCAAGATCCAGACATGACCTGCTCCGTGTTCAGACCTAGACACGCCACGATCCAGACATGACCTGCTCCGTGTTCAGACCTAGACACGCCAAGATCCAGACATGACCTGCTCCGTGTTCAGACCTAGACACGCCAAGATCCAGACATGACCTGCTCCGTGTTCAGACCTAGACACGCCAAGATCCAGACATGACCTGCTCCGTGTTCAGACCTAGACACGCCAAGATCCAGACATGACCTGCTCCGTGTTCAGACCTAGACACGCCAAGATCCAGACATGACCTGCTCCGTGTTCAGACCTAGACACGCCAAGATCCAGACATGACCTGCTCCGTGTTCAGACCTAGACACGCCAAGATCCAGACATGACCTGCTCCGTGTTCAGACCTAGACACGCCAAGATCCAGACATGACCTGCTCCGTGTTCAGACCTAGACACGCCAAGATCCAGACATGACCTGCTCCGTGTTCAGACCTAGACACGCCAAGATCCAGACATGACCTGCTCCGTGTTCAGACCTAGACACGCCAAGATCCAGACATGACCTGCTCCGTGTTCAGACCTAGACACGCCAAGATCCAGACATGACCTGCTCCGTGTTCAGACCTAGACACGCCAAGATCCAGACATGACCTGCTCCGTGTTCAGACCTAGACACGCCAAGATCCAGACATGACCGGCTCCGTGTTCAGACCTAGACACGCCAAGATCCAGACATGACCTGCTCCGTGTTCGGACCTAGACACGCCAAGATCCAGACATGACCTGCTCCGTGTTCGGACCTAGACACGCCAAGATCCAGACATGACCTGCTCCGTGTTCAGATCTAGACACACTAGAGAGGAGTGTGTGGGGGACCTTTACTAGGTGGGAGGCGGAGTCTCTTACCTTCCCCAGAGGGGGAGGGGAGAATGTGCAATCTCTAATGTAAAACCTACAGATGGCTGAGAGCTGCCGCCCGCCCAGTCAGTGTTGGGTCTGTACTCGGGAGATGTGGGATGGGAACGGTCGGTGGTTAGTAAAGGTCGGAGGTCAGGAATGATCGATGGTTAGTAAAGGTCAAAAGTCAAGGACAGTCGGAGGTTAGTAAAGTTTGAAGGTCAAGGATGGTTGGAGGATAGTAAAGGTCGGAGGTCAGTAATGATCGAAAGTCAACAACGGCCGGAGGTTAGTGAAGGTCGGAGGTCAGGGACGGTCGGAGGTCAGTGACACTCATGTGGTAGCACCCCCTCCCCCATAGATGTGTTTGTCATTGCTCAGTGGTTAGTAATGATCAGTATCGCTCACCAGACGTGCGGTGGCTCCCCCAGGCGGTGGAATCGAGTAATGGCGGACAGAACGATGACAGCGGACAGGACCGGCCATACTTTGGAGCCCCCGAGCTCCCCCTTCTGGGGTCCCTTTTCCTGCCTGCGGGCCTCATCCATCCCGCTCTGAGAGCTTCCAGCTAGTCACTATGGAGACGTGACGTCACCGCCGCGCCGCATACTTCTGGATTATTGCCGACTAGACCCCGCCC